AGAGGCAGCATCGCCATGCCCCGCTTTCATTGGCCCACTTTGGGGGGGAGGGAGGCTGACAGGAGGCAAGGAGATGATGGCGTGACTGGGTTCCTGGAGATCGGGGCCAAGCGGCAGAAGACAAACCTGCCGTGATGGCCGAGGGGTCTGCCCTCTCTGGCATCTTCGTAGACCCTGGCACGCTTGCGGAGGCCTGGAAGATGAAATAACCGGCATCTTGAGGCACCGAAGCAAGATAAACGCTTGCTTTTCTCCCGTTATGTGGAAAAACAACAACACGAATGTTAATGGAAACATCGTGTCATCCTTGGGAGCGCTGCTTTTAGTAGTACTGTAGCTGGTTAGAACAGACTCGTATTCGGTTTCACTGAGTTGTTCTGTTCGAATCGTTTCAAAATGCTGGGGTTACTGGTGTGCCTTTTGCATCTAAATTTCTGCGATGCGCTTCCTTCTTTCCAGGAGCAGTTTTTAAAAGTAAAGCCCGCAATTATTGGCATTAATTGTTTAGCCCCTCGCCTGCGCCCACGACTCAAGCACAAAAGATTTAAGTATTCTCTTGAAAAAGATTTCTCGTTATAGTCTTTGGCCTTCTGACCGTAAACTACCAGGCGCTTCATTTTTATTTTGTCCATATAACAAGCGGGGATATGGGAGGTAATTGGGTTAACTACCTGATCTTCCTTCTGGGAACGAGCGAGAACTACTAAACGCCTTCTTATAATGATAGACTATCAAGCGGCCCCCCGAACTGTATCATCTTTAACGTCCTTTTATTTTAGCAGGGAGGCCTGTAAAGCGTAGCAGTGGGAGAGGCGAGTGGCGACGAAGGGTTAAAAAAGAAGAGGGGGGAAAGAAACAGGGTGGCTGCCGGGGAAGCGGTGCTAGAGAGGAGGGCAAGGCGATGCCGTCTGGAGAGATCCCCTAGGCCATTAAGCACAAAGGAGAGGGGCCTGGGGAGTCGAAACCCAAATCCACTTGTAATGGCACGAGAGAATCGCGCATAATTACTGGAGCAACCTAGATTAAGATTGATGAGCCTTTAAAGCGCCGTTTCGGATCGATCCCCCTGCCCTGAGCCGGAGGAGGCAGGCCGATACGCCGGCCGGCCGGCCTGCTTGACGGCGCGCCCGCTACCTTGTCCTGCCGCGGGCCGGCGAGGAAGGGGGAGAGGGAGGCATGGCGGGGAAAGGACGAGGCGAGCCCAGCCCATGTGATCCCGATCAGCTGACCGGGGTCAAGAGGCCACGCTGGCCTATTAGGCGAGGGGAAAACAAGAAAATGAAAGAAAATAGAGTTTGTATCAATATTATCCAGCCCCCAGTGGGCTTGCTTGAAAGCTGTCAAAGGTGGTGGTGGGGGAGGAGAGGGGCGGCCGCTGGCTGGGAAGCCTAAGCTGGCCAATAGAGAGGTTGGTGCGGGTTGTGAGGGCAGCGGGCAGGGGAGCCTCCAGCATCCGTGGATGCTCAGGAGAGAGGTTCGAGAGGGAAGGGTGCTTGCTGGGCGGCCCGAGTGCTGCCGGCTTTACAGCCCCCGCAGCCTTCTCCGGAGGAGAGGAGAACGGGGAAGTCAAGGATGCTAGCCATTTGCACTGGAAAACCACTTCTAAACACCACTGTTATATAGCCTCGGCGTTTCGCTTTATTTTAAACTGGATAATGAGATATCTCATTCTCCTCTTGATGTGTCATCGAGTCAATGTGTAGCGTGTTTTAGGTTTCTGGGATAGACATCTAGGTTTAGACCTTGGTTCTGAAAGCCATTATATTCAGTTCACTTTTTAATGTTTTGCATCCAGTCCGAGATGGAATTTTCGACAAAAACATATTAGAGTCTCTCTGACCCAATACATTGCTAATTCGTCCCGATTCTAAACGGCATGGGACTTGGCTGTAATGATCGTTTGCAACAAGAGAAGTCCCACTGAACACAGTGAAACTTATTTCAGACTGAACTTGCCGTGGATTGTACTTGCCCCCAATATCAGAAATGCCCCATTAATTCCAGAATTACTTAGAAGTACGAATGCTTGCTAGGTTTAAATTTACGCATTTATTAGGGAGCTATTTCAGGGGAACTAAGAATAAACATGTTCTAATTACCTTCTGTAATTGTTTAAAACAAATAGATTTTGAAAGCAAAACGATTCTGCTGTCTGTATTAAAATCCAGTGGGTTTTACTTCCAGGAAGGCAGGTATAAAGCTGCAGCCCTTAACATGAGTTTAGAGATCAGATACTGTAAGGGAAAAGAACACTATTTCTGGCCTTTCTGTGTGAGAATTGGTTTCTCGAAACCAAGAACCGTTGCACAATAAAGACTACATTTCATAGGGTGCTTTTTGGTACGGTAAGAGACACATACCTACGCAAATAGCTTGTAGTGATATGTTGCGAAACGTGTGGCATTAACTCACGCCCGTTTTGATTTTTTAAAAGCGAAACATAATATCTGTCATGTAATTTGGCCATTAGATACACGAAGATTCAATGTGAATACTTTCTTAATTTTTATTTTTTATTTTATTTTACTCTATTTGCAAATCCCTTTGAATTACACTCAGTGGAACTAACTTCCCAGAATAAAAGTACTTGCAAGGAAGGGAGGTAAGTGCGGTTGATGGAGGCCCTTGGCTTTTCTAAATTTACGGAAACTTACTCTCAAGGAAACATTCATAAACGTGAACTCTGTGAGTAGTAGGAAACTTTTCAGTTATGACAAGAGCGGGTTTACCTCCTCATGACCACGGAATTTCCAACCAAATATCCCAGTGTTAAGGCTCCTTCTACCCCATAGACACCGAGGCCCATTGACGCCCATAATGTGCCCTGAGGTCTTCGGTGTTGTTTTGTGTGCATGAATTACACAATGCCTCCTGTTTTTACGCTCACCCTTCTGCCGATCAGCCCATGGTGCTGGGGTTGCGAGACCTTCCTTTCTAGGGGAAAATCCGCTTTGTCAAGCGCTCTCTTTTCCCGCAGTGCCCAGCACTCGTTGAAGTCCAGAGAGGAGCCTTTCGTTTAGTTCTTAGGAGGAGGAGAGCAGGTCTGTTGCCGGAGTTGCCCCAGCCTTATGGCCCTCCGTCTTGTCTTGCAGGCCCCGTGGTCCTCAGCACGCCGGCTCAACTCATCGCCCCGGTGGTGGTGGCCAAGGGAACGCTCTCCATCACCACCACCGAGATCTACTTCGAGGTAGACGAGGATGATCCAGCCTTCAAGAAGATCGACTCTAAAGTGAGTACCAGGCGCGTGACAAGAGGGGTGGGAGGACATGCTATAATTCTTAATAGTGAATGCATGGAAACACACACACCCCGGCTCAGCTTCCCTCCTCCTCCTTTAGGTTCAGTTCCTGTTTCATTAACATGCTCAGCGCGTTAATGATGGACAATCCGCGATGACTCCCTCGCTCCTATTTTAACAGTCTTTCTTCTTCTTTTTCTCCTCCTCCCCCCCTCTCAATTCCTGAAGGCCTTTGTACGGACATGGGCTGATTTAGCAGTTAAGCCAATTGCTTAGAAATCCCTTGAGGTGATGGCGGAGCCGCCGTCCGGCCTCGCTGCTCCGGCAGGCAAACCAGGCAGCGGCTTCTCTCCTGCGGAGGCGAAGTCAGGCGCAAGGCGCTCCGCTTAGAGGCCTCCGAGTCTTCTGCCTGGGTGCTACGGGGAGGAGGGCAGCCTTTGGCCCCATCCGGGGTGTAGCGAGGGGCAGGGGGTCGGTGGGTAGGAAAAGAAAGACGGTTCTCGCCCGGGCCTTGGCCGCAGACGAACACTAGCCTTTTCGGAAATAACAAGATGGATCGCTCATTTGGAGGCACAGGCAAACATAAGCTCAGGGTACGTTTACCTGAGTAATACTTTTTAAGGTCACATCGGTATTGTTGTTTTTTTTTAAATAATTGACAGTGTTGTTTTTTTAATTACCAATATTAGAAGGTCGACTTAACAACTTTGTCGCTTCTGTCGCCGGCAATTCAATATATTTTTTCTTTTTAACGGGGAAGGGGGTGTTTAGCAACATGGCGATTCTGATGCGTTTGCTACAGCGCGTCGAATGTAAACAAAACTTCTTGTGCTGCTGAACATTTTTAGCAAACTGGAGCCTGCTTAAGTCCACCTCCACCACCTCCGTATGTGCTCGAATATTTCGGGTTCATATCGGCTTGCGTGAGGAGGCAATCCTCGCTTTGTGCTGGGAGGGCCGGTAGGTTCCCGCTGAGCGCCCGGAAAGGCTGGCGCTTGCTTTTCCCCCGGCGCAACGGGCCGGCGGCAGCCTCGCCGCCAGGCCTCTGACACTTAGGGCAAAGGTAATATTATTCTTCGCCTGAGGACTCCTAGGCCGATCTATAAATTTGGCAGCGCTCCCTTCCTTGTCGCGAAGTGTTAATTTTGTTGCAAACGAGGCTTGCTTAGCAAACGTGCTTTCAGCTTCTTAAAAACCGGACTGACGGCCAAGTTAACCTAGTCCAGTAAACCTTTGAAAAGTAGATTATCTAGTGGTTGTAAAAATGCTACTCGGTTAATTACGACACACTTTAGAAGACGCTGATGGCCGGCATGATCCAGTTTTTAGGATATGTTACCCAATTTCTCAAAAAGTTAACGATTTTAACAAGGGGGCCTCCATGGGCTGCAGATTTCCCCTCTCCCAGAAGCTGGGTGACTTCTACAGCAAAATATATCATCATCCCAAATTGAATCCAGCACTGAAACTCTTGCACGTATTTATATTTTATTCATTAGATTGTAATTAAATAAAATCGGCAACAGAAATTTAAGTCACAAAATTATCCAGTGTATTTCAAGTGCATTTTTCCCAATATATAATTCAAATATTCACAATTATATAAGCAAAATCCAATTTTTTCTGAATATATTTAAATAACATTTCAAGTATATTTATGGAATGTTAGAAATAGAACAAGCAATATATTTGGAAAAAAAATGTAAACTTTTAAGTGTAGACACTTCAAAAAGACAATTAACAAAAGTACCATGATAAAATCTACCTTTTGAAATGGTATCTTCTTGAGCAGAAAATGTCCTGAAGTATCCAAAATGGCCATTTAACTTCTCTTCACCAAATCACAAAACACTAACATCCACAATTTCAAAGACAATGTGAGATCACAATATTCCATACAAATTAAAAATGTACATTGAGGGTGCGAAACAAGTGTGAGCTTTTGTGTGTTTTTGTTGCCCTTGTTCAAATGGTATTTCCAGACACAGCTTTTAATCACACAAAAAACCAAAACAAAACACGGGTCTTGTTACTATATTCCACGGGTCTGGCTTCTAGGCAGAATGGTCACAATCAGGCTCAATTGCAGCCGATATTGCATTTCCCCAGATGATGACGATGGCGGTAATACCTTTTCTTTTTTTCCCCAGACGGGATTTGAAAATTGTGATTCTGGTTTGAAAATTGTGATTCTAATAAGTCATAATATTTGCTGCGGGCTTTTGTGTGCATCTGCACGTGTGTGGACGGCGTAATCCATAGGCGATGCTTCATTGTCGGATGGGAACCCCTGACTTCCCTCCCCCAACAGAAATTATCGGAATAGAAAGACATTTGAATACAGTAGTTTAAGGCCGCCTTTCCTCTCCCTCTAAAGTTTTTCCAAACTTTTGGGGTTGGTAAGTATTTCCCTCGCCAGCCGCCAGGTTTGTTTGGCTGCGTTTTCGAGGGCGGAGTGCGGTTTGCCCTGGAAGAGGTCTAGATTGGGCAAGAAGTAATGCGGGCATCGCCTGCACTGGAGGCAGGAGATCAGCTGCAACAAGATCCCGTTGAGGCGATCGCCCAGGCACGACTCGTCCCAGTCCGACTCCCGCGGATGCTTTTCGCACTCGTAGGAGACCAGAGTCTTCATGTGGTAGTTGTTGAGCGGTTGCCCGGGCAGTTCCAGGTGGCGATCCCGCAAGGTTTTGAGGATGGAGAGGCATTTCTTCCGGCAGCCGCCCATCTGCAGCCGGTTCTCGGCTTCGGCGAACTGCAAGACCCAGGCGTCGCTTTCGGCCGAGCTCTGCTTGCCCGCCAGCGAGTGGCACTCCTTGGAGAGGAGGTTGAACCCTTCGGCCTTGACCTCGGCCACGCGGTTGGGGCCCGGCCAAGGGATGTGGGGCAGGGGCCAGTGGGCCGCGCTCCGGGGCCAGATCCCGGTGCACTTAAAGGCCGGCGTGATCTGCACCACGTATCTGTCCCGAATGCGCAGCTTCACCTCGCTGGTGTCCGCCACCATTTTCACCACGTCTCTGTAGCTGCATTTGTCCACGGCTTGGGCCACCAGGGTCTGAAACCGCGAGCGGATCTTGCGAGCCGAAAGGTACCCGGAGGCCGTGATAAACTCCACCCAGAGGGACATGCTCCGCTTCCGCCCGTCGCTCAGCTTGAGCACCGCGCAGCCGGGCAGCGAGCCGTCGTCCACGAAGTTGAAGACGCCCATCTGGTTCAGATAAAGGACCACCTCGAACTCGGTGGGCGAGATGACCTCCAGGCCCTCGTAGCGGTTGTCCATCTCGTTCAGGGAGCTGATGAAGCGCGGCTCCTGCACCTCCACCTCCTTCAGCACGTCCGAGACCACTTTGCAGACTTCTCGGATAGTTTTCGCAATGGCCGCTTTCCGCGCTTGGCATTTCTCGTTGTAGTATTTGTTGAGGTGGTACACCAGTTTGGCCTGGGCCGCGATCATGTTGGGGCAGAGATCCGGATTGTAGACCGGAGTCTCGCAGTAAGCTGTGGGATCCAATGCGGCTGCTAAGGCTGGAGCCAACTTCAGAGGAGAATCGGGCTGCCTCGCACTCGGAAAGGGACCCCAAGGACTGGGCGGCGGCGGCGGCTCCTCTCCACTCCTCAGCCGAGATGCTTTTCCTTCTGGCGGGATGGAGGTGGTCAGTGCCGGACAGATCTGTGGTCTTTGCCAAGGAAACACAAGCTCAATGCAATCCCCGTTTTATTCTGTCGAGAAGACCTCGGAGTAAACTTCGGAAAGCATCGAGATCTGCAGCTTAAAAATATAGAGAGAAACAGAGACACAAACAAGAAGCCAGAGTTGGAGCCCAGAATACAGGAAGGCTCCCAAAGGCAAAGCGCCACTGCCGGGACTGAGTATTTATTTGTGTTTCTTCTGAAGTAGCCACCTTGTGTGCGCGCAGGGTTGTGCAGGATCGTGGGGAAAGTGCTGGGTCTCTCTCTCTCTGCCTCGCTCACTCTCAGTTTGTGTATGCGCGCGTGTGCGTGCATGTGTGTGTATGTCAGAAGAAGCTGGCTGTTGGTTTGTATAAGAGCCCAGATGCACTCGTGTGGAAATTATAAAGGCAGGGCCAGGCGGGCGGGCGGCCAATCGCCACTGGGCTCGTCACGGCAGCCTCTTTCAGCTCCAGCCCGGTTAATTAATCCCTTTCTTGGCGATAGAGAGGGAAACACACAAACTAAAGGTAGGGGGCTGATGGCAGGAAACCAGCCGCCAGGCCACCTACCCATTTGGGACTGGTGAAGGAGCTCTCGGCTGAGTGAGGCGCGGGGCTGGAGCGCTCTGGCTTCCGGCGGGGAAAGGACTTCTTGGCCCAACTCGTCTCTTCTTGGGGCGACCCGAGCCCCCTTTATGGCACAGATGGGAGCGCAGGTGTCGTTAACCCGGCATCTTTCGACGGGCGAGCTGGAGAGGCGCTTCGCTCTTGGGGAAAGGAAAACGGAGACCGAACAGCCTAAAACTTGGCTGCATCTGGGGCTGTCTGCTGGAGCTTGGAAACCGCCGAGCAGTCTTCTCTTCCTCCCGCCAGCCAGCGAATCTAGTGTTACAAAGTCAGCGATCGTTGGACAGAAAATAGCGGGGAAAGCCTCCCCCTTTTCTCCTTCCCAATTAGGTAGCACGAGGGGCGATTTGACGGGTCTTAATCGATGGGATGCAAATGTTGCTGTATTTCTACCTGGCTGCTTAGACTGGTAGCAGATAAATGAGGTATCCAGTTGGTGACCGGCTTTGACAGTTTTCCGGGTTGAGTTTCCGAAGCCATGCAGCTGCCGGTCAGCCTCAGTTCTGTTTGCTAGTAATTAGTTGCTTTGTTGCTTTCTTAAGGTCACACACTTGTTACAAAAGGCATCTCTCTACATAAGCTGTGATTCTCGTTACTCTTGCCAAATAAAGGTCTATTTAACAGTCCAGAATGGGCAGTTTATTTTTGTGTTTGTGGACTGTATTTGCTATCCGGATGGGGTCTCATAAATGGACGACACGCTGGACAGAGCAGAAGGGGGAACAGCGGCCACAGTAAGAGAGAGGGCTCGTGCGGGCAGACAGCCTTCCTGGCCTTCCGGACCTTGCTGCACATTGTACATCAGGATCACCGTCAGCGCCTTTCAAGCTCCTTGTTGCGCGGACTTTAAGCTTCGCTCCCTCTTCTCATACTCTGAGAGCAAAGCACATTGCAGAAGCCAGGGAGGGCGAGAAGAATCTGAAGGAGTTCCCCCTTGTTTGGGTGGCTTCAGAAAGGTCACCTTAGTTTAACAATTAATTGGGTGCCACCCAGCGAAAGTTAAGCGCGCCTTGATTCATTCGAAATACGTGGGATTTAAACTTCAGTCCTAAATACGTCCTTCCAAATCTGTGGGGGTTGTTTTTTTCAGTTTATAAATTTAGAAGAGGGGTGGAGATGTTAAATCCTTGCAGCGCGGCCCTATGGAGTCTATCTAGAAGCAAGACCCACGGATTTTAAGTGAGTTTACAGACAAATCACTATCAGACCTGGATTTAAGCAAAACCTCTGCGTCTCAATCAGACGCAGAGGTTTTGTTTAAATCCCATTTATTTTGGTCCTGTTACGGTTGCCGCACGTTAACGCCATTAGCCTAACAGTGTCTCCTTTAAAAAAACACTCAGGCGGATCTCAAACACATTATGTTGCTGCTTCATAATTCACACTCAAGATCCGAATGTCGCTTCGGGTGCAATGACTTATAACCCAATCTTACGTGTAGCTTCAGAGAAGTAAGTCCGACTGAATCCAGTGAGGCTTACTCCCAGGAAAACAGATCCGAAAGCTCTCTCTTTGCTGCAAACGGCGAGCTGGAAGCGCCCCTGCGCCTGGCGCGCCGCTCCGAGCAGCCTGCGCTCTCGCCCTGTTCTGTCTGGCTTAGCAGCGTGCCCGGATGTGCGCTGGGGCTCTTAATCGGGTAGCGGCGCAAGAGACGGATGGGGCTCTGCCAGGCGCGAGTTTCTCTATCAGCGCCTTTATTCCTCCAATCCCGACGTGCGGCTCGGCAAGGAGCGCAGAGGGCAGCAGGGCGCTTCCAGACAGCCGCCGCCTCTCGGGAGGCCAGGTTTTGGCGGGGCTCCGTTTTCCTCCGGACTCGCCCCGCCAGACCAGCGAGGCCTTGCCCGTGAGGAGATAGGAAGGCGGCCTTCGGTGCGCCCCCTGCTCTCAGGCCCGCGACTCCTACGGCGGCCCAGGCCGGCCGGGTCCGCCAACAGGTGGAGACCCGCGTTTCCCGCGCAAAAGGCCGAGGAGCGTGAGAGGAAAGGAAGGGGAAAGGAAGCCAGGCTTCCGCCTCGGTCCCCTTCGCCCTCCCGCCATACGGAGAGCCAGGTGCCGCGGCTGCAGATGGAGGACGCACCCTTCGCCTCCATCTTGTGCCCGCTGTGAGCGCAAATGAGGGGAGTTGCGAGCCTGGGCGTTTTGCCGAGATTTCAAGCCGGCGCGGCCAGCAGAGCTAGCGGAGGGGAGAAGGAAGGGGCCAGGCCTGGCGAACTGAGAGGGTCGCCCGCCTCGACGCCGCCTCGGCTGAAGCCCCTGGCTCTGCCTGGCTGCTGTTCCAATGCACGCGTCTAGGCGCAAATACAGAATTAAAGCATGGCCAGCCCAGCACGTGGCAGACACATAGCGGATAAATTAAGCGCGCTTCTCAGGGGACGTGCAACGAGAGGCGTCTCTGTGTGCAGTATCGGAAAGTCCTCAGACAAAAGAGCCTCCCGAACTCGGCGGTCCTTGCTGCGCTTTAACGACTGGGGAGGCGCATCTATCGAAGCCCCTACATTTATTTATATATTTATTTGTGTATTACCTTTATGCCCCGCCTTTGCACTGAGGTTGGATGCTCATGATAAAAGGGGTAAATCTAAACAAAGAGGAAGAGTCAAAATCAGCGGGACTGATTTCTGAGTAACGGTGGTTAGGACTAGCTTGCAAATCGGGTGAATACCCTGGTGGACCTCACAGTCCCGAATGTTTATCGGAAAATATTCATAGGAAGGACATCATTATGTAGCAGTGCCCGGAATAATTCAGCTCCAGTGAGCTATAGACCTATTCACTTGAACTGGATTACTAAGCGTTTAACATGTCTTTGGATCAGTCTTGACATGCTTGAAAGCAAGCACCAGTACACACTCTGTGGAACTTAGGGCGCTTCGTGTTTCATGTGCCGCTTCCCACTGAAATATAATCAGATTTAGTGTTGTTATATAATAGTTTTGCAGTTTTGGTTACATTTCAAATAAATTTTAAAAAATTAATTTAGATTTCTGCAGTTGGTTTAGACTGTTTTTTGATGTGTCAACTGAGGCATAATATTAATGCAATAAATATGAAAGGAAACTCTTTTTAAGCTATAGAATTTAATGTATTAGATTTTAAATCAATTTCAAGGTTGGAATATTTTAGACAACTTAAATCTCTTGATTTTTCTTTCCTTTTTAAAATTAGTGTGGAAGTTTCTAACAAGTTTAAAACATATCTGACTATGAAATTCAGTGTGAACTTACTGATTTATTTAAAAACAGCCTGGCCAGCTAGTTGAACTTTGTATTTTTTGCTGATTGGCTGTTTCCATTTTAAAAAGATATATATAAATTGACATGAATTACAGTGTCTCTACTTAATTCAGAGGTGGACTGGACAGAATATTTAAAACGCTTTCCTGACTTTATTGGTTATAAAATAATTTCACATTATGTTAAAAAAAGATAATACAGGAAGATGCTTGTTTGAAAGTGGTAGTCAGAACTACTTTATGTTCTTATGTTAATATACTATTTTTTCCTTTTTAAATCTGACACCAACTAAATGTGATCATGTTTTTGTCTTAAAGGCATACAGAGTAAATTAATTTTGTTAATATTTGACTGACAATTCATTGTGCAAGAAATCAAAGATGTAGGGGGGGAATGGGATAAGACTTCCCTTTTTGATTCTTTTGTAGCATAGTCTGCACACTTTTACCATTTCTGCAGGAACTACCATTCCCAGACATTCATACAAAATATTTCTGCAAAACATTTCCTTTTTCATTCCAGATATGGATGCATACAAATTGTGTTCCAGTATTCTAATTTATTGTATTGGCAGCTTCCTCCTAAATCTTACAGTAATATTGTTCTTATTGCTAGAAAAAACCCATACTTGGTAAGAAGTTGTATGTTTATACTGCTGCCACATTTTACTTGTTATGTGGCTGTAATTATGCACACTGCTAGTCATGCATTTAAAGTTTCATTTTTATAATATTTGTCTATAGCACCGGGAAGACAAAACAGAAGTGGGTTTAATTATTTATCCCTATTCTGGAATGGGTTTGAAAGCTCATTGTATGTATCTGATTTTCTAACAATATTTTTCCTCCCTTTCGTAACACGTTGCCCTGCCAGCCAAAATCAGTTTCCTTTTTACACATATTTGTGACTTTTATTGTCATTTTAAGAAAATTAAAAAACACAGTTGTGTGTGTGTTTCCCAGTAATAATTAATAGTGACTTTTGAGTTTCTGTGTTTTAATTGTTATAGGGTTTCTAAAAGGATTGACTGAAGGGATAAAAAGTAATTTTAAAAGACCATTCTCATTCATTTCCTCTCTGATTCTTTTAATGCACTTTGAAAGACAGTGCCTTTAATTGCCTTTCATAAACTTAATACATTACAGTGGTTTCCTACATCAATCTGTACCTTTGGTGTATGGAAAAAAATTCTGAGACACTGAGAAAGAACAACTTTTTAAAAGATTAATAAAGGTGCTGTATGTGTTAAAATGCTGCCTACGCTTTTGTATTAGAGTTTATAAGCTGCATTGGGCAGTTATAAGCTCCATTGTACCTTGGCAGGGTTGTACATACACACAAGAAAGAGTGTTGCTCTTTCTCCCCCACCTCATTAAGTTGTTACAGATCTTCTGTTTGTATCAAGCAAAGTGGGATGCATGTGGACGGAGCTATGCTCACAGTGGACTGCCCTTGCAATTCACACTCCTGCAGTGCAAATGGTTCCCTAAACCTGTCCCTGCCTCTTCTGCAGTATCTGAGAAGTGCTGTCACTGCTTGTGCCCCAAGCTGAACATGGCTGAGGCCGGTTGTTGTTGTTGTGTGCTGTCAAGTCACTGTCAGCATATAATGATGCTATGAATTAATGACCTCCAAAACATCCTATCATTAAAAGCCCTGTTTAGGTCTTGTGCTAGCCTAATTGAGCTAGTCTTAGGTTTAACTACTATCTTCCCTCATGCTTCCACTACTCACCATTGGGCAGACCTAACAGCATTGTTCTTGTTGTGTGCTGTCAAGTTGGAACCAACGTATAGCAGCCCTAACAGGGTTTTCAAGGTAAGTGGAATATTTAAGGAGTTCTTTTAACATTTCCACTCCTCCAGTCAGTTGCCATGGCCGAGTGGGATTCAAACTCTGTTCTCCAGAGTCCTATTCCATCAGTCTATCCACTGCACCACACTGGGAACCCATAATAGTAGGGCCAAGAAGAAAAGAGACATCACAGTGCAATCCAATATATGTTTTCTCAAAAGTCATCCTTTGTTGGGGTCAGTTGAACTTACTCCCATAACCTTACACATAGCATTACAGCCTTAGTCCAAAGATACCTAAAAGAGAGCCCTCTTGAAATTAGTATCTACTATTTCTGAGCATATATACATAGAACTATCCTTTTAAATGATATTTTGTCAGGAGCCATTGGAGAAATGAGAAGTAGTTGTTAATGGGGTGCCCCTATTTTTGAAATACAACATTCCGATTTCTCCATCTCCTCCCCTGAACATGCCAGTGCTAGATCTGCCTGTTTTTCACAGATGCATAATCTGGTGTTATGATACTTGGTA